GCAACACGTCGTCAAGTACCTGAGACATATGCCTGACGTTGGCATTACACTTGGTCGTACGCCAGAACTTCGATTCTATGCGCATGTGGACGCATCTCATGCGGACTGGGAGGATAGCAAGTCAACCGAAGGAAGTATATGGTACTTCGCCGACTCTCCAGTCATGTGGACTACAAAGAAGCAAACCATCACTGCCAATTCGACTACTGTCGCAGAATGGTGTGCACTAGATCAACCTACTCGGGATGCAATGTGGCTAGGCAAGATTGCTCGCTCGTTTATGCTGCCAGAGCAGCGTCCCATTGAGATTCATACAGACGATATCAATTCGCAATTGCTACTCACTAAGAAAGGTGGCAAATCCGCGAATAGATGGCTCGATCTACGATGGTTCTTTGTTAAGGATGCTGTCGCACAGGGACATGTGGACATTAGACGAGTGGACACGAAGAAGAACGCAGCTGACGGTTTTACAAAAGCATTGGCAAAGGAGCAATTTGAGACTTTTGTTGGTTTGATCGGCATGATTTAAATGCATATTTGAAATGCATGATTTGCAGGATTTTACTATGAAACCCAGAATTCGGGGAGTTTGATGGAACATGGTCTATGAGGGGGATGTTGGATGCCTCAGGCATCACATGTAGGATAGACCAACTAGATAGTCTTCCTTTCACTCTCACCTTCTCTCTCTCCCCGTCCATCCAATTGAATATTGTTTTACCTGCATACATACTATCATTGTATTTGCATCAACTTTCTTCACCGCCACATGTGCCATGCCAACTCACTCGCTTATCCTTTTTGGGAATTGTTACTCTCTATTCTGCTGTTGAGGCTTATTACATGGTTCATATTCTTTTTGTGATTGGTTTGATTGTGAAATTTACGATGATTTATATCGCCCTGCACTCCCATGGTTTCGACGATGTATGTTATACAACATGCTTCTAGTGCCTATGAGCACCTTATTTATAGCCTCTTTGGTCATGTTTGGTTGTTAATATTAGTAGTCCGCATCAACCTTGACTATCATCACGCACAGGGATAAAGAAGGGGTATTATTAGGATTTTGGCTACTCTGGCTAGTAGTAAGGAATGATATTTCAATGTATATTTCGAGCTTGGAAATCTCAAAGTACCTGGGAGCAGCCCAAATACCTGGTAGCTTGTTCCACGCACTGTCCAAACGCCAAAGTAGAAGTGAAATCGAGACCAATGAGAAAACAGAGAACCAAAGTGAAAAGGGATGGATTAGAAATAAACAGAGGTCCAGGAAATAGATGGGTGCCATACGCTCATAATCTGGTATCACAAGAATATTGAAAAAAAGGGTCCTAAAAAATTGTTTTACTTGCTCGGCAAATCAAAAAAATCAAGCAAGAATCAGAGCGCTGGCGCCATGATGCACAGGCTCAGAGAGCGGAGGGAATCTGTCGTTAGTGATCAGAGTATACTAATCGAGGGAAGAACAGATGCCCTCTTGACCCTGTACAAATGCAAATATCACAGTAGGACTTCCAAAATGGTAAGATCGGCCCCAAAAAGGAAATGAGCACGCTTCATGCGTGTCGAACGAAGTTTCAAGGACTCCCCTGTGCAATCCACCAAGTTCAAAAAGACAGCGTCCAACATGAATCACCAAAAGTCACTCCGTGGTCCCATCATGAGAACATGGCTGGCTATATACGCGTAAAAAAAAAAGGAGAAATGCTAAAACAGAGACATCCTATTGAAGCAGCAAGAATGTCAGGAAGGAAGATAGCCAGGGCAGGAAAAGACCGGGGAAGTCTCTAGCGGCGAGTAGCGATGGCCTGTTGTTGCTCTGGGCTAAGACGGTCTCGCAGAAGCATGAGTGGGCGACCAGGCTCGAGAAGGCCCATCATCATCTTCCCCAATTCATTGTGTCTGATCGGTTTGGTGACATAGTCATTGAAACCTGCGCGGGCAGCGTTTTCAATTTGATCCGTCATTGCGTTTGCGGAAAGAGCCATGATTGGAATCTGGGGATAGTGGTTCATTTGCTCCCACTCGCGGATTTCTCTACAGGTATCGTAACCGTTCTTGATAGGCATCTGAATATCGCACTACAAACAAAGTGGTTAGTTTGGGGAGGGCGAAAAGGGCATAAAGAAAGACTCACGATGATGAGAGAGTAGTATCCTGGCTCTTTAGAGAGCACCATGTTAGTGCACTCTAGTCCATTGGATGCAGTCTCCGACATCAGCTTGATCTTGTCCAAATATTTCAACATGACCTATTTATGAGTCAATGATCAATCCAACAAAGTTCTCATGAACCAACTTACATCTCGATTGGTTTCGTCATCCTCGACGAGCAGAATTCGGTAACCCTTATTGCCCAAAACTTCTTTGACCATCTTCGACACGGTCTTGAAGTTGTTATTGATCTCACGCGCCATGTCTTGGTTGCGATCCTTGCTCAGCTCACGCTTACTCTTGGGATCGAAGATAGAAGAGAAAGCAGAAGGTTTGACAGGCTTTGGCACAATGAAAATCTGTTTTCCCGAAGCCGCCAGTTCTTTGACCCGCGAACTGATTTGACGTTTTTGGTAAAAGTCTGCAATGATGACAATCACGGGCGCGGGATCCAAGCCAGAATCTGAAATGTTTTGAATGACCTCCAGGATGTCATCAGTTGATAGGTTCAAGACAAGATGGGTGCAAGGATTGGTATCGGTAGCAGAGTGCATCGCATCTTTCCATTCATCGACATCGACTAAAGTTGTGACCTTGAACGGAATCTCATGAGGGACGACCTGCTCAATGTGCTGCTTAATGGCTTGCCGGGAGTTTTTGAGTGGACACAGGATCACTATAGAGAAAGGACCATGGACAGGAACAGGCACTGGTTCTGTTGGCGTATCTGGAGAAACAGATGCCTGGGACGTAGGCGATGTCACGTTGACCGGTGTGTCAGGCTCTGGAATGGCAGGTTGGATTCTTGTATTCGAGAATGCAGCTGGCAGATTTTCCGAAGCTTGCGTCTGATCCAATGGTGGCGGCAGGGGTGCGATGCCAAGGTCTGGGGTCAGGAGAGCAGAAGAAGGAATTGACAATGCGGCGGAAAGGAGGGTGTCTGAGCTATTGCCAGATGAGTCGGAGTTTCTGGGAGCCAGAGAAGGTGCTTGCTGATAAGAGGTGGTTCTAGATTTTGCCGGCCTTCTTGAAGCTGTTGAATTTCGGTGCAGCAATTTGGGCTGCTCAGAAGGAGAAGGTGGCGGAGGAGCATCGACCTTGACGTTAAAAGAGAACTTTGCTCCCTGGCCTTCTTTGCTGCTGGGAGTGAGCTTGCCGCCATGCATTTCAACGAGTTGCTTCGACAGGAAAAGTCCAAGGCCGCTACCTGCATTTTGCTGTGTTCCATTCTCTCCAAGCTGACTGAATCGTTGCATCAGTCGTTCCGCATCCTGAGAGCTGAACCCCTTTCCAGTGTCCACGACTTCAAAGTTCATGAATGCCTGGGTGTCATTGAGATTCGCAGATGGTTCCCGATACATGTCACAGCATATGTGAATTTCACCCTGCGCAGTGAATTTGACTGCATTTCCTAGAAGGTTGATTAGGACTTGACGAATTCGGAACCGATCTCCAATCACCATCGACGGCAAGTCCTCGCCGATGAGGTAGTTGATCTCAAGACCCTTATCGATCGCACGTGAGGCGATGGTGTCGATTACATCCTCGATCATTGATCGGATGTGGAACCAGGATTTGACTATTGACATCTTGCCAGCTTCGACGCGGGAAACATCAAGGATATTGTCTACCAACTCGCGGAGATTGGTGGAGCTGTTTTGGATGGTGTCAAGCATTCGCCTCTGGTCACTATCGAGTTGCGTATCCAGGATGAAAGGGATAGTACCAAGAATGCCATTGAGCGGGGTTCGGATCTCGTGTGACATGTTGCTGAAGAACTTGGTCTTGGACTCCATTTGATGATTCAACTGTTGCATGGCCTTATTGAGTTCTCGTTCGAGGTTTTTGCGGTCATTGATGTCAGTACATGTTCCGTACCAGGAGGCTTTCTCGCTCCCGAAGCTGCTGGTCTTGACACGTACTACGCGAACCAAATGCCACCGATAATCACCACCTCGAGAACGAAGGCGGATCTCGGTGGAATAGAAGACTCGGCCATTCTCGTCTTGCTGCAAAGAAGCAATGCCGCGCTTCACAAGTTCGTCGAGGGCTGATCCAACCATGAACTCACAAGGTCCGCTATCATTTTGGTCCGTGTTCTGAGATGTGCTCTTGAGAGCCAACTCGCCGCACTTTTCGAGATCGTCAGGATGAACGTGTTTAGCGAAACCAAGGTCGTATGCTTCCTCGAGCGGTTGGCCGGTGTACAAATTCCATTGCTCATTGACGAAGATCAATCCGCGATTCTCTGTCGCCTCAAACACAACCTGTGGGATCGAGTTGGAAAATGCACGATACTTTGCATCAATAGCAAACTTCTCCCTCTCTTGAATTGCCTCAAGCTCAGCAATGTGCTGCTCGTGAATGTCAAGAAAAGACCCAATCCAGTACAGTACCTCTCCCGTTGCCGATAACAGCGGATTGGCCCGGAAAATGAACCAGCGATATGCGGATTCGTCGTTGAATCTTCGGACCCGCACTCTTTCCGTGAATTGGGCACCCGTGCGCAAGGCATTGGCCCATTTGACATGAACATGCTCACTCTCGCTGCTATGGATATTTTGCCAAGGATCTCGAAATCTTTGCTCCTGGTGCTGACTTCTTCTGTAAGCATCGAACTTAGAATTGGTCCAGATCACTTCGCCGCTCTGAGGTTTTGCCAAGAAGAGATGCAATGGAATTGAATTCAGCATCAGCTGGGCTATCGTGTCAGAGAACGGTCGCGGGAGTTCCCGTTGCAATTGAGCATACAACGAGTTTGTAGAGGCATGACGTGATGAATTTTGAGTGGGTGAAAGGGCATTGGGTGGTCTTGTTTCTTGGAGTGGTGATGTAACGTAGAAAGGTTGATCTTGTAGGTTGTGCTCATCACTCGTGATTGGTTTCCAAGCCACTTTGTCGGGAGAAAGTGGCATGGATGAGTCAATCTTGGTGGTCTTCGACTTGACGAGTCGTGGTCTGTTTTGGGATGCATTGTCTCGGGCACTTTTATTTTGCGGGACATTGAAGTAGCTGTCAGCACCTTCTCCGCCAGATCGCACTCCTGGAGAAAGATTTGCGGACCCGAATCCAATATGGCCTAGCTCAAATCCAGGAGTCCCCATAGCAGAAACAGCAGGACTGCACTTTAGAGAAGTACGATCGCTAGGGCTAGTGATGCTCGTATGTGCAGACATTGGGTGGTTGTTGTCGCCAACTGAATAGTTGACGTGCCCGCTGAGCCCCGCAACAAGCTCTAATTCACTGCTTGCATCGGAGAAAGTGCCCCCGAGACCTAAAAGAGGACCAAAGCGGGGAGTCTCCATCTTGGAGGAAAGTTGCCTTTCAAGCTGGCTATATCGCTGAGCCAAGCAGAAGGAAGTTGTTAAATGTGGCATCAGGAGTGAGAGTGATTGCCTGAGGTTCGGAGGATATGGAACAATTGTGCACAGCATCGACACAACGGCAACAGGAAATCTCAATGTCGATGAGGAATCCTGGTTGGAGTGGCCACCATGTAGGAGAGGAATATGGATAACAGTCTTTGATTGATCGACCCCAATGGCCTCTAGTGGAAGGTTGTTAGAGTAGTCGTGTGAAGGCGGATGCTTGGAGAATGCCCCTTCATCGACCGAATGGTTTGTGAAGAACGGATTCTGATCTGCATGTGTGCGAGGAGCGGGCGAAGGAGCAGGGGACTGAGACCACGGAGACTGCGGAACTTGCTCGTATTCATCATACTGTTTCCATCCACTGACACCGAGGCCTCGCTGCATTGGTATGATCCCGATTCCCCTATCACTAGGACCATCGAGATTAGGAGTGACTTGAACCATCTCATTCGGACTGTCGGCAGACTCGGTCCAACGCCGTGGATGTTGCGCGCTCTCTGTATATTCGCGTGTTAAAATAGTGGGACGAGTACGTCCAAATAATCTGGCCACGCCTGTACGCTTAATGAGGGGATCTAGCTCTACCTCCAATGGTCTAGCTATGGGGAACACAGCCTGCCGCATACTGCCGAGGAGAGTGTTGAGTGTATCGTCTTTGGTTTCGGGGTGTTCCCCCATCAAATGGTCCGCGCATAGCGAGTTTTGGGAAGCAATTTGTACGTGCTTTTTCTCTGATTTGCCGTTTATCTTGGAAAGTTGTTGGCTGGGATCGTGAGGGGTGTGGCCTTTGTTTTTATCAAACCCAGCGAATGAGTGCCGAGATAGTAAAGATGGCCGGGAAGATCCAGGCATTTTAGCTTGTTGGGACACTGTCTCGGCGTTCTGTTGCGTGACACTTTTACGTGACTGAGATTTCTCCGTTGATGTTTCCTTCTCTATATGGCGGTCTTGAAGTTCATCCAACGAGGTATCGACGTTCTGGTTAAAGATTGCTTTTTGTCCCCATGGTACATTCTCCAAATCGGTCACATCTCCTGGGACAGCGAGCGACACGCGCTCAGCCCCATAATGCTTTTGCAATATGTGAATGAGATTAGACCACCACGCTTCGAGTCCTGAATCCGCATTCAGCTGTAGTGTCAGATCATATAGATTGGGACTGAGGAAATTTGGATCTTCTTGGACCTGGTTTTGATGAGCGGGCAGAAAAATCGGATGCAGTTCCAAAGACTTTGGTTCCGAAGGTAGACTTTGGGATCCTGGTGTCGAAGACTGAGATTTCTCAGATGGAAGCTTCAATCTAAATGGTCCTCCGCGAGGTGTTGGTTCAATCCCCATTTTGGCTGGTTTGTTCTGGATGTGTGGAATATGTGGAAAGGGATATGATGGCGTGTGTGCTGGTTTGCGATCGGAAGTTGTCTCTGTCTGTATACCTTTGATTGTCTCTGTTGATCCTGCCGAGCCTGCGGAGCTATGCATGATTGGGGCCGGAGCCCCAGTCGAGAAATTGGAGAAGTAAGTGGACAAACGTCTCTTTCTTGGGGTATCATTTGAAATAGCGGAGACGGGTTGAGTTTGCTGCATCTGTTGGTATACCAGAAGATCTTCCATCTGCTTTCGAAGTTCCTTGAGGGTATGCGAACTGCGTCCTTGATCCTCCTGCCGCTCGGCTTTCGATCGTGCGTCCTCAGTGATAGGTGTTAGACCAACAACCTGCTCTGTAGAGTCACCGCGCGATAAACGAGATGGGTTGAGAGATGACTTCTCAAGAGCATCTACCCTATCCGCAAGTTCATCCACCAACTTTTGGGATTGGTGACCATGTGGGGGGCGGTGACCAGGCGATCTGGGAGGCTGCATTTGATGAGATTGAGGCACAGATGGAAGTGATTCTGTTGGCGAAGGAAATGGAGGACTTCTCCTTCTATAGACATCCCCCATTCTCGCACCTCCGTGGAGGGAAAGATTATCAAAAGGATCTCAATAGTTGTGGGCGAAGTATGGGATGGAACGATATGAGGCGTTTATGGCTTGACCTAGGTCGCAAATGGGTGAGGTCAAGTGTTTGGAGGGTGGGGGTTTTGGAAAGCCAGAAGAAAAACAGATGCCAAGGTTAGAATATGAGGTGAGAGTTGGAGCGAATTAGAATCATTTGAAGATGAAGAAGACGAATCAGGTTGAGGCAGTGTATCGAAGGGGGGGAATCGATATATTGATGTGTTTGAGAGAGTGAGAGAACTTCGGAAACAGACTGTACCCGCCAGGCCCATTGCTTGGATCGATATGGGAGTGGATGGGAGTGGATGAAGGAAGGAAAAAAGTGGACTGGGGGCGTGATGCACCGGGGGGGTTATGACGTAGGAAAATAGAAAAAAAAAACTTGGCGATTCTTATACTGTTCCTTGTAAACGGTTATTCCTTTAATATTGAATGATAGATCGCTATCTGTTGGAGTCTTAAGACTTTTCAGGACTCTCTACTCTCCAAATTATTTTCTTAACTGGGCTCTCTTTTCCTTTCAATTCCAAAAATTAAAAAAAAAAAAAACCAATGTGACGTAGCCCTCCATTTTGCCTATGTGTGCCTGGCTTCCCTGTCCTTTGTACTCGGGACTGCGGTGAACACCAATGACGAATTTCGCTCGAATCTCAATCTCTCCCTTTGGGGAAATCCCTTTGGGGAAATCTGGACACTGGTAATAATGAAATCTTTATAAGATCATCATAGTTCGTAACTTATAGATCTCCAGGGCACATTGGTATATTTTGGTATCTGCCATGTACAACATACAACATAATATTACCTGCCAGAAAACGACTCGTGACACGTCCAGATCGAAGGAGAGGTTCTCGTGCGGTCTAGACCACAAAATTCAAATTCCCCCAATACCCCTTCTTTAGCCTCAGAGTTCCGGGGAATGGGGTTCTGTAGAGGGCCAAATGCATTGTTACACCTGTTGCAGGATGCCTAACCCCCCTCCCTGGGAACGAGACGATCGACCCGCCGACGTCGACGGGGCTCCTGTGGCGCCAATTTGGCTCAATGTGGGAATGATTTGTGCATCGACGGTCAAACGCCCCCCCCCCCCCCCCCCCATTTCCGCAGGACATTCTAGACACTAGGAAACGAAAATCTGGGGTACTTTATTTAAATTGACAACTTACATTGTCAATTGAACATGGAACCATTTTCGTATCCCAGATGCCCCCAGGTAAGTATCAGCTGAAATTCCTCTGTCATCATTTAACTTGAGACACACAATCCATTCTCACTTGCCCAACTCTTTTGGTAATTTGCATAGGCTCTCTAGCTACAACATACGTATGCAATTGTCCTTTCTTCTTCGGGCGTCTTGTGGCGCTCTCCCCGGGTTCGTACAGTTATTAAAAGATCTACGATCAACATTGGATAGCTCCCACTGCTCCGTGAGTAAAAGCAGCTACAACTAGACCCAAAAAAAGGATTAAAAGTTGCGATTCATTGAAATGTACTTTACCCAGCAAACTAAGTTGGAAGGATGCGTCCAAGCATCCAATATAACCTTGGTACAGGCTATATACATTTGCATGCGAGTCTCCAGGACTACAACCAAGCGCATATGAAAATACAGCAACCCACATAGTAAGTCAAACGACCTGCAATCATTTGCTCATTGAACAGGACTAGGGGAATTCTGAAGCTTCCGACTTGATGTCCGCTGGCTGTGCAAGCTCTTGGCTAATTTTGCCAACCTGAGAGGACTCATCCAAACCGCGCCGAGGATTTAACTCCATCTGATAAACTGGTTGCTCGTTCTCCTTCAAACCCGACCCTGTGGGATCTCTCCGGATGAGAAAACCCTGCACGCGCGCATCATTTGAATCCATCTGTTTGATGGTGCTGTCTTTGCGGTCCTGCAGGACACGCGCCGACTTTGCGTTGGTCTCGCGTAATCGATCAGTGACATCATTATTCACCTGTCCGATCCAGGATGCTTGGAGGGCGCCTGCAAACAACACCAAGAGGATTACAAGCCGAGAGAAGGTGCGCTGGTCGACGACATGCTGCTGCGGCCCTTGATGGCGGTTATACCAATCCTCCCAGTCTTCCCATGTAGCATTCGAGTAGATATTCGGTCCATGTGAGTCGTATGCAATTGTTGTATCCAGTACCGTGTGGACCCAGCCAGTGCCGTTTCGATCATAGGCCGCTCGTTTGATCGGATCGGAAAGGAGTTCATGGGCGTCAACAATAATTCGGTAGCGCTGCAATCGGGTTTCAGCGGTCAATTGATGAAAAAGAGGATGGTCTTTGAGAGCTCGGTCGGGGTGGTAGATCTTAACGAGGTCATAGTAATTTCGTTTCGAGTACGTGGCGCTGCGGGGTAGATTCAAGACATCATAAGGGGTGAAAGATGGATTGCTGGGCCATGAGTAGTTCTGGTGTGGGAATTGTGCTGCGGTGGAATAGCTCCTGCTTTTGCATGCCTGCAAGCTATTTCTTGGAGAGGTATTTGTGTTAAAACGAGAAAGTGGCAAGACCGCGGTTGAATTCAAAATTCGCAGGCATTTGCCATGAGAAAGATTGATTTTCTTGAACATTGTCACATGGTGTCTCTTCAGACAGCACGGTCAAAATCTCCGTTGCGTTCTTATCTTCAAGTGATCGTGAAGGTGAGAGTAAGATGATGGTCTTGTTCTTCGGAACCGCGGGCTTCAGAGTTGGTCACGTGTATGCAAGCGTTGGAGCTTTGATTCAAAGAGCTCCAACTTCATGATCTCAAAGCTTACCTTTCCCCGCAGTCCCATTTCAACAGCAACAATGACTGGGTCCACTGATGACGGCCCCGAACGCTCTGAACGCCGGCAGCACTCCGTAAACTCACCTTTGGATCAGACCCATGAACGCCGACGACGAGATGACGACCGCTATTCGAGCTCAAGACGACGGCATGAAAACCACCAGAGCTCTCACCAGCACAGTTCTCGACGCAGATCATCCCGCAGCCCGGCCGAAAAAACCAACAGCCGAAGTGACCGTGATCGGCCTCGCCGCGAGCGCAGAGACCGATCGACAAGCTTGGCTGGTGAAGACCACGACAGACACAGACACCGCAGCCATCGACACCGTGATACCCGCCACGAAGATGAAGATCGATCCTCTCGGAGGCATCGCCACATGCGATCACGCTCTCGCTCACGTTCACCCCAAAAATCACGCAGCCCTCCACCACGAGCATTGGAACGACGCGGCCCTCTCCCTTCGCAGTCCGACGCATTCACCGATGTTGCGCACCCTGCAGATGCGGCGGCACCAGAAAAGCAAAAGCCGAACTTCAATGCAACTGGTAGACTTGCAGCTGAAAGCAACACAATTCAGGTTCAGGGCGGTGCGGAAATAGTTCTGAAATACCATGAGCCTCCAGAGGCACGCAAGCCGCCCTCCAAGGAAGCTTGGCGCATGTATGTATTCAAAGGGCAAGATTTACTCGAAACGGTTGAATTGGGCGAACGTAGTTGCTGGCTGGTCGGTCGCGAGCGAATGGTGGTAGACTTCCCACTCGACCATCCTAGCTGCTCGAAACAGCACGCAGTGCTACAATTCCGATTTGTTGAAAAGCGCAATGAATACGGCGATCGCATTGGCAAGATCAAGCCTTATCTTATTGATCTTGAAAGTGCAAATGGATCGAGTGTTAACGGGGAGACCATCCCCGCTGGTCGCTACGTCGAAGTCATGGACAAGGACGTGATTCGCTTCGGCCTGAGCTCGCGCGAATACGTCCTCATGCTGCCTCCCACCTGAACAACGTTTTTCGTCGATGTTAAAAACCCTGAAGCTCTACGGGTACAGCAACTCCGATGAACAAAACATAAGATTAAGATTGAATTCGGATCCCAAATGATGCAGGTTTTAACCCAGTCTTTAGGTGAAGACAAGGTCGAAGCCCCTAATCAATGCGGTGCTTGGCCTCTTTGGCCTTCACTTCCACCTGGTCCATTTACTTCATCTTTTCCTTCGCCTCACTCAGTGCTTCTTCTGCCTTGCCTTTGCCTTTGCCTGCATACTCGGCCGCCTCGCCCTTCACCCTGCCTGCATACTCGGACGCCTCGCCTTTCACCTCTTCCCCCTTTTCCCTTGCTTGCTTAGTACCGGCGCCAACGACATCCTTAATCTTGTTGGCGGCTTTCTCTGTTGGCAAAGTCATGTTAGCGTCAGTCTCTGCGCATCGAATCAAAGTCATCTCGAGATCTGAGACCACATGAAGACATACCACCCGTATTGATGCCCTTGACTGCTACATTAGAAACGGTCCGGTCGGCCTTCTTCAATGTCTCCTTTGTCACATCGATAGGTCCCTTGTTGTATGGGGCTGTAGCTGAGATGGAACGAATTGCCTGGAAGCCAGGTGCGGTCTGCACCACCACCCGGGTTCTCAGAAGAGGAGCGAATCGTGCTGCAAGCATGGTTTTAAGGGGTTTGTTTAAAGTGATGGTATGGTAGAAGTTTCCGATAGCTTGGGCTAATTGGGATGTGATTGAATGAAATGTTTAATAGATTCTGTCTAGACCAACATGGAGTAGCTTGTTTAAGTAGGTTGCATCTCCAAAAAGTCGTCGTATCATACTTGTTTTCTGCTTGGTCGCCTCCGGCTGGTTGGTTGTGGCGACGTCATGAGTATGTAGCCATCTCTTACGTCGATTGACAGTCAGTCGTGGCCTATTTTCCAATGTTTAAGTCTCCAGCCCTCGTTTCGATAGGCCATTGGTATTATTAGATCCCTAAACCCGGTTTTAAGATGTCATTTCTGGAACGTTTTGTTTTCTGGTTGATAGACGCCCTTGGATATGGGTGACGATAGACCGAAATCTGCCCCACGCCCCCGTGGGACGATTCGTCCTATAGATTATGTCGAAACCAATGGTACAACACATGGTTGAAAACAGGGTGGAATACCCCGGAAAATCCACGGACCGCCACAAAGGTGTGGCTCACACAAATTGTATGTTATGTTTAGTCAGCGTCGTCTGCACATATTGAAAAAAGCGGATTTTGTCATTTTAGTCAGTTAGGGAACTTGGAGTATTTTTTTTACAACCTATCTATAAGTAGTTCTATATAGAGTTAAAACTACAGATCTCTATTAATTATAAGCCCGGTATCATTCTATTAAATGATCTAATTTTATTAAGGAGATTATTTACTAACCTACCCTCGGTATACCTAGGAGAATTTAACCCCTAACCACCGAGGTAACCTCTACAACATAAAGCCGAAGTTAAGAATCGGAGATCTATTATTGTAAGAGTGAACATTTTTCAGGTGTGGAGCCCGTCAACCGGGTAAAACACCAGCCACCCGTAAGCAAACTGCGACATCGCCAGTCCATGGGCACCTAGGAGGTGCCCATCGCCCGTCCACGGTGGGCGGTGGGCTATTTTGGATTTTCGAGTGCCCATCCACAACGCCCACGGCCCGTGGGCATACCATGCCTAACTAGACTGCGACATCGCCCATGGATGGGCGGGTGGGCACTGCCCACGGGCCTTATATAAGTGGGAAATGGGCCCTATGGATGGTTACGCCTATAGACGGGCCCTACTCTTATGGCCTATGGGCCTTAAGCGTCGTAGGCGCCCGTGGGCCTTTTTAGTAAGTAGAATTTCTTAACCTCGTGATATGACTCTATTTATAACTATTTACGCGGGCCCCGCCAAAGTGTAGTGGTTATAGAGAAATAGGAGATAAGATTAATAGATGCCTAGCTAGATAGATGATTTTAATATATTTAATTTAATTGCGGTTTAGTTGAGATAAATACATTTTAAGTTAATAAGTTGGTGGGGGTGTCCAGCTCGGGGTTTGTCTAGCTCGGTAGTGAAATACGTTAATGAATGCCTAAGTCATCATTTCTGATTTCTGACCTCGGTCAAAAAATTGACAGTGGTATTAAGTCATTGTACATATAATCAAATTACTTAAAAATACAGAGAAAAATTGCACAAATAATGTATTTCACGAGGTTAAGAAATTCTGCTTACTAAAAAGGCCCATTTCCCGCTTACACAAGGCCCGTGGGCAGTGCCCACCGTCCATAGGCGATGTCGCAGTCTACTATTTATGGTGCTATAGCACCGAACTAAGTGTCTGATGCTACTAAGCCTTAGTGCTAAAGCACCAAACCAAAGGCCTAGTGCTGCCGTAGCACTGGTGCTATAGCACCGGTGCTGCGGAACTTGTCAATGCCTACACTAGCCTCCATAGTGTCGTCAACAAGGCTGGCCTACCCGGAGTCCTCCATGCTTACAATGACGCACTTCCTCAGACCTTCATTATCGGTGTAGCTGTGACCTCTGTCGGCATGATCAGCGCGTTGTGGGGGGAGTGGAAGAGTGTCGAGGGAAAGAATGTTGCGACGGGAGGAGCCGCATAGCTCTCAAGGGCAACTTGTTCATTCTATGTATTCCATGTTAGGGCCCTGAACTGTTTCCAAAAAAATACCCCGTCTAATGATATGGACGTATTAGAAAAATTGAATCCCTCATTCTACTATTTCATTGCATGTAAATTACTTTATTGAGCTATCCGACTGTGCTTATCGGCCAGTGATAACCCTAAACTGCCACCCGTGGACCTCGGGACCTGGTCATCTTGGGCAGCTGACGTCTTAGCGTCCTGCCAACCGAGAAGAGCAGCGGAGAACATCGAGTTTCGGGTTGACTTCACAACATCTTATCCGATGGAACACTTCACTCCTTGAAATGCCGGCCAAGCGACGGATTTTGTCCTGCCAGCCGTGTCGGCGCTTGAAGACACGATGCGAGGTTCTTCCGGGCTCGAGGCAATGTGCTCGGTGCATCTCTCTAAGGTAGGTGGCGCAATGGAATCCAACCATTTGTTGAGTAATTTTGTGGGCTAATCGGATACTAAATAGGCTCGAATGCTCTCTTCCGTCCACGTTTGCTATCACTAGTCCAGAATCAGGATCTATTGGTAGACCAGAGAGGAGTTCCGACCAGCATCTTGGATGTCATTGTGCAAGCCGGTATATCTAAATTCTGCTTGGTATCGACCGACGCTTTGATTACTAACCGATAAGCACAAGACTTGATGCCATGGAAGCCTCACTCTCTGAGATGAAAGAATTACTGAAATCTCACCTTCTCGGAAATGACCGCTCAATGCCAAGACATCCTACCAAGGAAATGCGCGGAATGAGTAGCACTTTAAACCCGAGAGAAGATATGAACGATAGCAAAGCCACTCTGCACGTGCCCTTAGAGGCAGATACATCGGCAACCGCCGACATCCAACCAGCACCAATCACAGTGGTCCGCCACGTTGGGAGTCTAATCACGGAGCCCGTCACAACCGGGGAAAACGACTCGCTCCGTGAAAATATGACCGAACTGGGCTTGGACTCGGACAGCTTCGCCAGTGTTTTCCAGCGCGGCTTCGAGCAGATAGCATCATGGTACCCATTTCCAAATGAGACCCTGACGGATCTCAAACAGAACCATCCTCTGCTCTTTGCTGTGTGTCTTCTAGCAGGTATCCGCGCAACGGCTGATCTAAACCGCACCAATTTGCACATAACCCTTCATACATTGGTCAAGACCCACTTAGGCATGAAGACGCTAGATACGCCCATTGATATCTCCACCATACACGCCATGCTTCTCTTCAGTGCCTGGAGTTTTGGGCCTCTCGTGCCAGGTGGTAGGTATATTGATAGCTGGTTGATGAGCAGCACGACTATCACCCACTGCATGCTCAGCTTTCCTCTTTCTCGACTTGTCTCCCAAGTTGGGGTTTACGATGATTCGAATCGGAACATGTGCAGAATGTGGATTCAGGCATCGCTGGTGCATCTGAAGTACGTTGCTCTTCAAAATTGCAGTGGTGAACTGCTTCTGGGGTGTGGGAATAAAAACTGATTAGGTTTCAAGATACGCAATTGGCACCGGTCGGCCATCAGTAGTTTCATGCGACCGTCTTCACCAGTGGACCGAGATTGTCAAATATCCCGGGTTTCAAACGTTCGACCGCATCATTGCCGCAGAGCTCAAACTCTACATCCACCTGTACGAAGCCATTTATCATAATGTCAGTTCGGTCCCGGAGGCCTGGGAGAATGTCAACACATGGGGACGCACGTATTTTGGGGGTGAGCATGTCAATCAAACTGTGCTGGGGTATTGTGTACGTACTGACTGACAAACACAGAAAGCAATGTACTCAGATGGGCGCACTGTTGCGCGTCCTTAATTTTATCTCGATGGGAACTGGCAAAGCAGAATCAATCCATATCTCCGAGCTCGCTGGTGCGCAATGAGCGGATAAATGAGCTGACCGAAACGGTCATCTGTCATGCTCAGCTGGTACTGAGAGAGATCTTTGTCCTCTGCACTTCTGAGACAGCGTTTGTCAGGCCAACGTACGATTACCTCCTTGCCGCATATGCGGGCGTCACTCTAGCGGAATACTGCGCGAGTATACCGGATGTGCACGCAACATATACCTTGATGGAAGATGTTCGAACGCAGGCTAAGATTCCCAAGAGCATTGAGGGAGTGTTTAGTTGGGCAACAAATGTTGTGCAGAAGAAGGCAAAGGATATTTTGGATTCTAAAGCGACAATAATTCCCGATGACAGTTTCTATTCCTATCCAGGCTCGGTCACAGACTGGGCGCCATTTCGGTTCATTGACTCGATGCCCGCTTCTGATTGGGACGGTGTGAATGGCTCTATGCATCAATTCTGAAATTCACATAAATCGCGTTGTCCAAAATTCGATCGATGATTAGATTGGAAGAGATTTCTCTCCGAGTCAACATTATCTTCAATCAGAAATTGGCTTTCCGTGTGCGAGTTCCAGGCGGTTTCGATGCCACTATCCCCAAGAGTTAGACAATTCCAATACCGAAAAAGTGTAGATGGGAGTGAGACTTGCCTTTCCACAAGAGATAGGCCCATAAAGTGCAGGATGGCCCTCATCAATACACGAAGGCACAACCCTGCAAACCGAATCTGGATTAAATCCCAGGAAGAAAGGCATAGAATACCTGGATGTAGGCTGACGATTATAAACTCTATGCACCGTGGACTTGAACCTGTTATTCGAAAGACGCTGCAGGAAATCGCCAATATTAACGACTAGCGTGCCAGCTATCGGTCGAGCGTCAAGCCACTCATCACTGGCAGACAGAACCTGTAATCCGCCAGACATATCCTGCCACAGAAGAGTGACGCACTGGATATCAGTATGAGAGCCGATGCCGACATCGACATCCGCATTGTTTTTCTCGAGTGCATCGGGCGCCGTAGCGGGATAGTGTACGTAAAGCCCGTCTGCACCGGGGTTTGTGGTCACCGCGTCAAAGTAGTCTTCCGGCATATCTAAAGCAAGGGCAAAGACACGGATCATCTTGCGCGCAAGCGTGAGGCGGCGCTGATAGAATTCAACTGTTGTTTCCTGAAATCCAGGGAGATGGCTGGTTGTATCCCAAGCGAAGTCATCCTCGCTGGACAGCGTGTCCCCGTCGGAGACAGTTGGGTCGTTCTTGCGATTATAGCGCAGAGAAAATGTCTCTTTGCGATCTGTGATGTTCGTCATTCATTGGTCATATGACAAGGATAAACCTGCCCAGGTTGGGAGTGAGAGAGGTGCTTACCCCTTGTTTCGGTTCTGTTGATTTGGGTAGTCCCCAGCCCATGCCATCCATCCGCGTTCGTTCGGATTTTGCGAGATGCGAGCTGTTTCTTTTCGATCGGCTGGGCGAAGAAAGCTTTTGCTTGTGACAGGGCATTCTGAATGAGCTCTTCTGATATCCCGTGGTTTTTGATATAGAAGAAGCCCGTGCTCTCAGCCGCTGCTCTGACCTTAGACGCGAGGGTCTTTCTCGCTTCTAGATCCTTGTCGATCGAAGCGAGATCTATGATTGGAATCTCATCCTCGGTTGGTGGGCGTGGAGGAGCAGTGGACACTCGGCGGAATTCTGGGCCAGTGAGTGTCAAAAGTTCGATTTGAGTATACTCTAGCAGGGTTGTCATGATTAGTGCAATAGATGGCCAATACCAAGTCGAGAATGCTCGTGAATTTATCCACGATTCTTCTCCCCGCAATATCAAGTCCACCGATAACCGTCGGATGAGCGCGGCGACGGCACTCGCCGGACTATCTCCATGCGCCCACATGCAAATTTGGTTGGCTGAAATGATAAGCTGAGATAGGCCATTCCTTTTTGTCACATTAGCCTTTTGTTGTGAGATAGCATCGTCGGCTCTGGATAGTGAAGGTTGTTTTGCATGCCAGTGAACAACCTTGGAAGTGCGGGTGACTCCTTATCAGTCCATAGGCCACTTCAAAATGGCTCATTAGCCCTAAAAAGCACGATGTATCCTGCACGTCCTTCTCCACCATCTCTTCCCCCTGTATTCAAGTTTGTTCGCCACTAAGATCAGCATTCCAATCCATCTTTAATCATTTTACCTTGTCTCCACACTCTACCCCACCAGCCCCATATTCAACCTCAATTATGTCCAAACTATCACGACTGCATGGGCTCCTCATAGTGAAAAGAACCCAAGGAGATGGCATCGATCGCCCTGTTGATATGCTGGACAATGACTCAATTCGACCGACACCAGTAAAGGATCGAACATGGTCCCAACTCACCTACGTCGTGTTCTGGTTCTCTGCGACGGCGAACGTCAGCAATCTGTACACAGCTTCCACGGGAATGGCCATGGGACTGACCATGTGGGAAGCAATCGGATGCTCCTTTGGTGGTCAAATTCTCGCCGGTGCCTTGATGGCGGTGAATGGACGTGCTGGTGCTATGTACCGCATTCCGTTCCCCGTTCTGTGTCGTGCCAGTTTTGGGCATTGGGGAGCGCTGTGGCCGACTTTTAATCGTGCAGCTATGTCCATTGTATGGAACGGTGTCAATACCGTTCAGGGAGGACAGTGTTTATAGTGAGTCGTTCTTCTTCGAAATCTCGCTATTTTCACCGAGGGAAGCGTAGAAGTGTGGTTGTTGACGTTCGGTTCTAGTGTATTGCTCCACGCTATATTCCCATCTATTGAGAACATTCCGGATAAGATGGGATCTAAGTCGGCTTTGACTTCAGGACAAATGATGTGTTTCTTCATCTATTGGTACTGTGACTAGTGACTCAATGCTCGATCGATTGCTGACGAGTCTCAACAGGCTTATCAATTGCGCATTTTTAGTGGTGCCTGTGCCAAAGATGAAATCTTTGGTCTATGTCAAAGTTGTGGTTTACTTCGGTGCAGCCTTTGCTATGCTGGGATGGACTGTGTCTCTTGCCGGTGGCTCTCTGAAGACCATCGATGCGCCCTCGGAGATTAAGGGCACCGAGAAAAGTTATCTCATTTTCAAGTTCCTCTTCTTGGGACTCGCAAGTTGCGGAACTTTTATCTCCAACGCGTCCGATCTCCAGCGATATGCTACAAAGCCTAATGATGTCCTCATCGGCCAGGTTGTCAGCTTTCCACTGTCGAACTTTTTGATTGCCATTTTGGGAAATCTCATCGCATCAGCGAGCAAAGCCATCTTTGGAGAGGTTCGTGAGACCAAAAGCGTTTAAAACTCTTGACTGACGAAATTCTCTAGCTCATCTGGAACCCCCTGCAGTTCTTAGATAAATTGATGGAAGGGGAGCGAAACACCTCTGGCAACCGCACAGCCTGTGCCTTCATTTCTCTGGCATTCGTGTATTCGACTGTCTTCTCAGCAACTTTCGAGAACTCCATCCCGTAAGAGTCCCCGTCTCTCGCATTTCTCTGTCAAACACTAACAACTCTCAGAGCGGGTAATGACATTGCAGCCCTGCTGCCAAAATACATTTCCATCAAACGAGGATTCTTCATCTGTGCCGGTAAGAATAGAAGAAAAGAATTTGAACGATCTCACCTGTCTGGTCCCTGAACTGACAAACTCACCAGTCCTCTCCTTCGCGATCTGCCCCTGGTATCTCCTCGCCTCGGCCTCAATTTTCATCACATTCCTCTCTTCCTATCAAATCTTCTTATCCGCAATAACCGGCATTCTCATCTGCGATTACTACGTTATTCGCCGAGGACTGCTCAATATTCCAGCCCTGTATGTCTCACACCCAAGTCCCTACCGATACTTCCACGGGTTCAACCCGCGGGCATTCTTGGCCTATGTAATTGCGGTTGCGCCAAACTTCTACGGGTTCCTTCACCAGATGGGTGTCGAAGCGCCTCTAGGTATCCAGCGATTCTATTACATCGCTTACCCTACTGGCCTGATCATTGCATTTGTTGTTTATTACTTGTCTTGTTTGGCTTACGCCCCGGCTGATATGAAAGAGGCATCGGGATGGATGGAGCCTAAGGACTTCGTGGAGGATAATGATGCTTCTGGGAGTGATGGATATACTATTGACGCTATGGAGCCTAGTTTTGTGGAGAAGGGGGCTGTTGCCGTTCCTACCGCAGCTCATAGCGAAAAGAGTTCGTTCTAATGAGACATGTCTGGTTAATCTTTTGGGGGTGCTTATTTTCCCCAGGAAACAGGATTAATACTGTGGTGCTATAGCTTAATATCGACAGCTGCAGTCCACAAACACGGAATTTGAGTGTATTCATTTTCATCTCTAAATTCGTCTCTCCTCTTAATAACTACGTCCGCTTAATTGAACGGTTCCTCTTATTAAGACGAAGTCGAGATTCTACGGCAGAAGTCACACCCGGGCCTTCATATGCATAATTTACCATTCGGTGGATGAGAATGGTTGCAGTCAAGCGGTCTGCTTTTCCCTATTGTCTCTTCGAAAAGTCAGTAGTGCTATTTCTTTTTCTCCTCAATACTTTTTTGAATTGGTTCTAGTATGTATAGTATGTATAGTTAGCGCTATCACGCTAAAGGTCGTCCTCTTTCACCGTTACCTTAGGTCAAGGAGAGAAAAAAGCACCAAAATCTCGAAGTATAACGTTGGCCTTGTTGGTAAATCGTGATTAATATCGCCACTAGCTCCGTAATCATAAGCCTATTAAGTTATGACTATGGATACGCTTCTACTACATATCTCAGCTTAATCAAGTTTGCGGTTAATCGACCTACTTTGTACGTATGCCACGCGGGGCCAAGCTGATGATCCGTAGCAACCCCGAACTATGCTTAGTGCACTATTCCTGACTTCCAGAAGCTCTCCGGAGATAGTATGGGAACTTGTGGCAACTGGAGGTTCCGACTGTGCTCTAGATCACATACATATGACGTTATATTTTAGATGTCGGGTGAACGTATAAAATGTCTTGGTATTTGCACAAACGACTAGACACTTTCAAGGGAATCTCATTATTTCGACTTTTCGGGTCAGTCCCTGAAAATGCCTTTTGGAACTCTTCCCGTTAACGGCAATGCGGTCCCTCAATTTGCTCCTCCATACACGATCAATACCCAGAGCTTCAGCGACGTCACCCTCATCACGATTCCCTACCGGGTCACGGCTGCGAGCATTCGTCATTTGGTTCCAGACGTTCTCGAGCTCGAAGATGAGCCATTGGTCTCTGCTATGCTCGTCGACTATGGCATGAGCACCGTCGGCGCATATACAGAGTATGTTCACTCTGTCGAAGTGACTTACAAAGGCAAGGTCTTCGGCTACTATCTCTCTTTGATCATGAACAACGACTCTTCCATCTTCTGCGGCCGTGAGCAATATGGTTACCCCAAGCGTCTCGGACACGTTTCCCTCGATACGGACACCGGATCACACATAGTACGGGGCCATGTCGAGAGACCGGTGGGGCAGAAGATCGTCAACTTTGATTTTGCTCCCTCGAGTCTCCTTCCCACTACGTCCCAGACCAACCCGGGCTTGAATCTTCGTGTCATCCCCTCCGCATTGCCAAATCAGCCGCCATCGGTTAAAGAGCTGGTACCCGCCATCATGGATATCAAACCGAAGGAGATCTACGGTGGGACCGGGTCTATCTCTTTCCCAGAACCTTCCGTGTTTGATCCTCTGCATGAACTCGAGATTCTCCGCTACGAGCCAGCTGTGATGCTCCGTGGAGCGACGGGTGTGCTCAACCAGCCTACTGAGGTGTTTCAGT